ATGGAGTCAGAAAGGATATCAAAGGCATCATTAATCTCTGCAGCTTTGACAAGGTAAGTGGGGAGCTGATCTTTTAGTGCCTGGATTACCGGTGTTTAAAAACAGCACATCTCTTATCCTTTTGATGTCGGCAGCTTTGGGTCGGATACATTGACTGCTTGTGGACTGAAAAGCTGTGCAGCACGGAACACTTTCATAGTGCAGGAGACTACCAAGTCATTTACCAAGGTGTTCAGAAAATACTGAAATGCAGGCATCACACACTCCCTCAGGCCATACTGGTACCATTTTTGCTGGTCGCCAATGTTCAGAGGAAACAGTTCTTGAAACATACCTAGGATAACTGAGAAATTGTGTGCGTGACTAAGAGCTCGGAGCTCTTCAAGCTTCTGAAAGGCGATAAATATCAAGAGACCACCCCTCTCTAGAGTGTAGGTTGCCTTAACAAACTTCTCCAGTTCCATGAGCGATCCTAGCTCGACTTTCAACTGTACTGCATTCTGCATCAAAATCTGGGAAAGTCATTGCCTTGATGTGTCAGCAAACTCTTCATTGCTCCCTAAAAATGTAGTGATATGCCTCCACTCCTCAAACACAACTTTAGCAGACTCCCAGTAGCTCCACCATCTTGTCGCATTGTACCATGGCATGGTTTCCCTGGATACCTCTTTCCATACTCTTCTTTCCCTTCATACTTGTAGTAAATATGAGATTCCACGTCGTCATGAACTGCTTGAGAACTGGAATGTTGGAATGTTGTTGTTTGGTTCCCACCTGGTCTAGAAAGTGTGAGATGCACCCAATGGCAAGCATTTCTGGGTACAACACAGAAAATGTTTGTAATGTCTTGCTGTTGACTGGCGTTCTGTCCCACTCATTGCTGCTAAGACGCAGCCTTGAGGAATATTCAGCTTTCGATGGAGTACCTCAATTATAATGCAAGGTAACTTGTCATCGTTAACTGAACGTTTTACAAGTTGAAACCTCATAAGCCCAACTTTCACGTCCCAGTCTTGCACAAAACGAGCCAGAACAGCTAGGACTTCACCATCTCGAGTTGTTCCACCAAATATGATAGAAAGTTCCTTACCCAGTATTTCCCTGGATATTGATTTATATTCCTCTTCCAATACAAAAAGGATCAATTGGCTCATGTGGGTTGAAGATGTCAAAGTGAAGCGTCCTTCTTGAAATAGATCTCTGAAATATTTCATCCTATTTGATGGTGTTCCACTCTTCACAAATGCTTGCACAACTTTTGCTCTAAAAACTCGTGCTAGTGGGAAGTGTCTCACCTTTAGGGTGGTGTGCCTCATCATACTTAGCTATGGCATCAGCAGTTCGCCTTTCCTTTGTAGTCTGTACTATCTTCTCCTTGTTTGCCTTGTGCTTCTTGCTTGAGACGTGCACGGCTTTATTCTGTTTCCTCAGGGATAACTCTTCCCGGCAAGATTGGGAGAACAATGCACCATTCCGGCTAACAATAAAAGACTCTTCTTTAAACTCTTTCACTCTTTAACTTGAAGAAACTTTCATAGACTTATTTGCTTTTTTGGACGCACTAGTCTGCGATTGATGATTTCCAGGCATGTTGATGGAGTTGACGGAAAGCTTTCTTTGTCTTGACAACTCACTTGCAGCTGGTGATCTCAGCTGGTCCAGCCGGGAAACTACTCCCCTTTTTCTACGTATGATGCTAGTATCAGGTTTGATATAAGCTTACAGAACTTTAAAAAGCGTTCAGATATATCTGCTCACAGCAAATAGAAAGAAAACGTTCTGAAGAATATTTAGTTATAAATTTGGCTGTAGAAAGTGATTTTCTTGTCAGGGGGTTCATCTTTGAAAACAGCAAACACCGGGAAGCCAGCTTAAAAGATAAACTTATAAAACTTTACGCTTAAAGACTCAGGATTTTTAGAGACACTTTAATACTTGTCTCCGTGAATGAAAATTGTTGTCTCTGTAAATGTTTCACCGAATTATATTTCTTTTATTGATTGTTAGTAGTCTTTCTGGCAATTTTAATCGCTTGTCCGTGCCGTTTGTTTTCATTGTTCATGAATATTGCTTGTTGGAGTACTCAAAAATGTCGTGCATATCATCAAAAGCTTTTAAGATGACACATCATTGTAACTGAAACCATTAAATAATGAAAATAATAATGAATTTGTTATTATGTTGAAGTGTAACTCTATTAAATGTCATTTAAACACTCGACCACACTGACAGCTCGCACTGTAGAAATGAGAACCGGCTGGCCGTATGGGTGATTTTGGAAATTTTTTGAACGGTTTTGCTTAAAGCCCACGATTGATCGTCCTGAATATTGACTGAGTGCAATTTGTCTTGAAAAATTGTGAAATACTGCATTCTGTCCGAGGTCTGTATGATAAATAGTACTGTTTCACCTCAAATGTGATGTGTAAAAATTATAAAAGCTTGGTTTACACACCCCCAGATTTGTTGATAAGAATTTGTAAAGTAAACCTGTTGAACGCAAAAAAATTCGGCCTGATTTGGTTTTCAAGAATTTGTTTTTGAGGCCTAATCTACTGTGATCTTGAATGTGATCGAAGATGTTTGCTGTTTTTTGGGTGTACATATAAGGCTATCAATTCGATGTAAGATGCTTCACTCTAAAATAAGTCAGCCTTTCCCTCAAAAGTCACATGAATGTGCCCTTAAGTTAACTGATTTGTGGATTAAAAGTTTATTCTTTGATTTAAATTGTAAATTTATTAATTGGAACTTCGCTTTTAGCCCTGGCTAAATCTATATATTATAATAAAGGTGGTGTAGGTGGGTGACTGGGTTATTTTGTTTGGGAAGAATTTGTTTTCCTGGCCTAATCTACTGTGATCGAAGGTGATGGCTATTTTTGGGCGTTCATATAAGACTATTAACTCGATGTAAAATTTGTTTCATTCTTGGACTGTCAAATAATTTTTATCTAAAATCACTTAGCTTTTCCCTTAAAAGTCTCATGAATGCACCCAAAAGTTAACTGATTTGTGGATTACAAGTTTATTGTTTGATTTAAATCATAGATTTATAAACGGGAGCTTTGCTTTTAGCCTTGACCTTATTTTTAATCAATATTTATCCAGAGGCATCCAGTTTAGTAGAGGTAGTTTAAATAGAGATTTGACACAACACAAAAACAATGACACTAAAACATTAAAACTAGACAATTAAGTTAGAAAGGCAACATGTACCGCAGGTATTACTTTTTAAAATGGCTCTTTAGCTTGATTGTAAATTCACTGAGGGTCTCTATTTGTCTAATGATTCTCGGTAGAGTGTTATAGGTTTGAGCACCGTTTATTCTGAAGCGACCTTGGTATCTAGTAGTTTTTGCGAAGGGAGGGTGCAGCAAATCACGGCTTCTGGTGCTATAGCCAAAAAAGGTGCGCGTCCCTAAACTCTAAGTCTGAAGGCGCTATTCCGTGAAGACACTTATGGATGAGGACGCATTTGAGATAATTTCTGCATGCTTGTAGGCTGGGCCAGCTAAGTGTTGATTTTAACTCCTTAGCCATGATATATCGACCTTCAGTAATACATTAGCTTATCTAGATAAGCTTTGCCATAATAATTTAGCTTATCTCTATAGGCTTTGCTCCCAACCCAAAAACTGTCCCAGACAGGCGAACAGTAATCGAACAGTGACAAGACTATAGTATTGTAGAACGGTGAAAACAGTCAGTCAGTGCTAAAATAAGCTTACCTGATACCGTGAAGTCATCAAATATATCGTTCAAGGTCTTCTTTTTCAAAAGAATCGTCTCTCGTACTGTCGACCTCCTATGCAGTCATTTCTACCCCAGGTTTTGCCAATTTTAAACCATTCACCTGTCTACTTAATGTTTACGAAGTGTACAACAATATGCTGCTAAAATCGAGTGCTTCCAATACTTAAAAACTCCAAAAATTGTGCCATACCAAGAAATGGACAAAATTGCCAAGGAATCGACGCAAGATCTGGCAGGCTCTTCGCCTCTCATTTTTCACCTGCCTTGGTCCCTTGCGTGTGGCTTACATTTTTGGCTCGCCTCTGTGCTAAAAACGAAGCGCATGAGGAGGAGGCTGCATAATTTACCAGTTTATCATAGTAATTGAAGGCTGAGTCTAGTTCAGGAAAATGAAATAGTACATTTTCCCTCTATTGTTTGTGGAAAAAAGGGTTAAAAATCATATTTTGCAACTTATCAGTCCTGCCTTCATCTAGGTCTACAATGGAGGGCCCTCCCCTCCCCCCTCCAAACAATGTTGGGATGAAGAAACGCTTTTAGGACAGGGTAAAGTGTACAGGGGTGCACAAACTACAACTTTGCTTGGGGGCGAGGGGGAAAGGAGGAAAAACTAAGGCAGATCGTGTTAATTGTCCTAAGAATTTCGTCTTCCATTGTCTGAATACTGCCTAACGCACAAAAGTACTATTAATGTTTTGAAGAATAGAAAAAAACACCATAATAAGACAAGGAATTGTTATTAACAATGTGAAAGGATATATGGCGTGACCAAAAGTAATGTTTGCGCGAGCTTTAGTAGAGTTTGAAAACGGTATCAAGTGTGACGTTGTTCAACTTGCCATGAAAAATTACTCTTTGTCTGGTTTGGAAATAATTGCATGTACACGCAAGTATGGTTTTCATCCAACAAATCGCAGCAGAGAAAAGGGCTTTTGCCTGGTACCTGAGAATATGGAATTTCAAAATCGTCTGCGCACCGAATTTGCAGCAATGAGTTTCGAAATGGAAGTTTGACGAGGAAACCAAGTGACAAGAAGCAGGGAAGACCACGAAATGTAAGCGAAAGAAAGATGCGTTTACTGATTCGTACCTTAAAGTCTTTTAGATGGAATAATGTACACATTACTGTGAGAAATTTAGTTGAAGAGAGTGGTCTTAGTTTTCAAGTGGCAGTAGGAAAACGTATTCGTGCTATTTGAATGAACTTGGATACTGTTATTTTTGGGCTCGGAGAAGGGTGATTCTTAGTGCCAATAATAAAAAGTTCACCTTTATCCCGAAGTTCTTGTCTAAATACTTTCGTACTTGAAACCACCAGACCCTCTTTTCCAGTTTGATAGCCATGAGATAATGGTATAGATTCATCTCCTGCCCATTTTCGGCATTATCTGTGTTGTGATGAGCCTCAATACATATTACCCACTTTACAACTCTAACGCCAAAATTCTGCCAAGCTTGTAATACAGCATTGGAAAAACTTTCTTTAGAGGGAAACTTAACAACATCCGCTCGACCATATGTAATCAAATACACAACGCGTTGTCTCCCAGCTTGCAGACATTCCATTTTTACTCTGCGATGGCGAATATCATACTCCCAACAAAGACCGTTAGAATAATGCGCTAAGCCTGGGAACGAATTTCGAATCACATGCCCCCTGCCCACCCACTTTTAGCCCTTTGGAAACAATAACTAGATTTCAGGCATGAAAACCAGACATTCTCAGACTGTGAATTTAAATCACTCCCTTTTGCATTGACAAGGACGGTTTTAAGACATAAAAAATGAATAGATAATAGTAATAAAATGAAATGACACGACTCTCTGTATCATATATCACACTATGGTGTTCCTCTACCTGCCCCCACCTCTGACTCGTTTTCAAAACAGGCACACAATAAGGTACCTGCCATAGCCTACTTATAAAAATGGAAACAAACAATACTGGTCTCCCAACTTTTGACTATAAAATTCCTTCCAGATTTCATATATACCACCTTGAATATTGTTCAGACAATGGAGGACAAAAATCCTTGGAACGGTTATGGAAAACCTTCCTTCCACATCCTTAACTTATTAAATGTTCAGATGTAGCATAATATGCACTTCTCTAACCACTTGGGTACCGCGACTGGCCCTCCCCTCCCCCCTCCAAACAATTTTGGGATGAAGAAACAGTTTTAGGACAGGATAAAGTGTACAGGGGTGCACAAACTACAACTTTGCTTGTAATGTTTATTCTTCACTAATAAATGATTGACGGTATTAATCAATCATGACTGTAAAACTTCATGTAGACTGATCTGGCATGGTTAAGTTACCAACTGGAAGTTCAGATTTGATTCTTATCCTTGTCTGTCAATCCGTAAGTGGTAATGGACTTCTCATCTGATGATGAGATTTTTACAGGTATCTCATGAAGCAGGATGGTCTTCTTCCTGCTCGGCTCTGTCATGGTTGTATACTGCAGTGTGCTCCTAGCTTCAGTAGAGTTTGGCTGTGCACCATTCCCTGGGGTTGGTGTCTTTCTGGGAGGTTGTCCTCCTTCACGGGTTTGATTCTCTCCATTGGTTTCAGCAGTGTCTGTCCTTGGGGGATTGTGAAGAAGTCTGTGATATCGTTTGTCACTCCCACACGGACAGAGCCTTTGGGATTCACACCTGCCCCTGTGATGTCCTTGTCTCATACAAACATGACACAACCTATGACGTTTCACAATATCCCAGCAGCTTTGGAGATCTTTGTTTTGTAATTCAGGGCATGAGGCCAGTTCATGTGATCCTGAGCAGCACAAACAGTTCTGCACGCCGGGTGGGGACTTACTCTGTCTATCACCTGTTCCAAGTCTTCTTCCATTGTCTTTCGCGGTGACATCAGTTACAAAGGATGATGTCCGCCTTGGATTTGGGGAGTCATTTGTTCCATTCGGTGGTTTCTTTCTATTTGCTCTTGTCTCCGTGGTTGTCATCTCAACAGCACCTGCAAATCCTGGATCATTCTTAATCGCAGCCTGTTTTACAAACTTGGCAAGATCTTCCAGACCTGGATTCTTTCCCTTTAATTTTCTCTAATGGAATATAATACGTCAGCCCCTTGTTGATCAAGTATTCGGGTAGTCTACCAGCGATTAACTTCATATTCGCAGTAGCGCTTGGTTCGAGTTCATAGTCCCCCTGTAATCTCTTGGTGGCACACTGGAGTTGTCCTGCAAAGTTACGTAGACCCTTAAATCTCTATTTCCCAGTTTTGGTCCCACTGTCAACTCTTGAATGCAGGCAGCCGCAACCGCAGCTGGTTGGCCATAGCCATCTTCTAAATGTGCAACAATATCTTCATATGAGCACCCTGCCGATCTTGCTACAACATCATATGCTTCACCTGTCACAAACTTTGGTAGAAATTCGATTTTCTGAACATCAGATAATAAGTCATCTTCCAAGTTGTCTCGAATCCCTCTTCTAAAGACTGGAAAGTCTGCTACACTTCCACTAAATGTTACCGGCTGCATCGCTTGAAGTGTTGTGACTCTCAACAAAACCGCTTGTGTTGAATTCGTGCCCAAAAACTGTGGAGCAAATTCGACGGCTTTGGGGTTCAATGGCTTAGTCTCCTGCCGACAGTTGGCAACCCAATTGGCTTTTCGTTCTTGTTTTGGTAGTTGAGGTTGAAGAGAGTGTCTAGGGTCACACTCATTCTTTACAACCGAATTGTCTTCGTTAGATGCACTGTCATGATCCTCTAAAGCCAGCAAATCAACCTCCTTTTCTTCTAACTGAACTTTAAATTTCATTTCGCTGGCAATTTTCTCCTTTTGCATTTCGATATCAATTTTTCTCTTCTCCATTTCTGCTTCATACTGTGCTAACTCTAATGCCTGATTAGCCATGAGTTTCTTTAATTCTACATTTCTCTTCATTTATTTCAGTTTTGAAGATCTCGAAGATCTGGACGACTTTGACTTACTTGAAGTTATCGGTGACAATTTAGGTTCCACATTAGAGGATTTTAAACTACTCCTTGAAGAGCGAGGTGAACCTGGGCATAAATAATCTTCAAATGTCTTTACACATTGAGAGTAATTGTCGTACTGTAACGCTGTTCAACACACTCAATTTCCTCAACAGGCAAGTTTTTAAGGATATAACTCTGGTATGTGTCACTATATCGAGCCCATGCCTGCTCATAGTTCTTCCCAACTTCACGAACTTCCTCACATTCACGTGCCTCGGCAATACTGATTTTAACTTGATTTATGACTGTACTTACTCGAGCCAATAACCTCCAAGCAAGCCCCTTGCCTGATACATTTCTTCGGCTTCAACATCTTCCCGGTCTTGCATATTTACCCTTCTCGTTCACCCAACGGGATCCAAACATCTCTTTTTCTCGGGATCCAATTCTGCATTCTTGATCTCGCCACCATGTACATTCATCTCCATGTCACCTTTATCCTCCTTTTCCCGACTCAAAATCGAACGAAATGTAGTCGCAAATCCACAATTTATGTCATTTATTCTCAAACTCCAACAATTGATATCCCTGTATGACTTGCAAAGACGAACCGCACAACTGCGATTACTTCAGCCTGGGAAAAGGATTTGCTGGTATTTGTTAATGTTTATACAGGAAAAGAATGGAATAAAGCAATTCATAATGGCCTGACTTTGCCTCTCGTCCTGACAGGGGAATGTCACGCGAGTCAAAACTCAAAGATGGCGGCTGAAGTCTTTCCGCAAATGACATCATAGATTAAAAATTCAAGATGGCGTCCAGACTTATTAAAAGCGTGTAAAACAGTCCTTAGATTTTACAAAGTCGTTGACTTCATCTTCACAATGAGACAATTGCTTACCATGGTAAATGATTATAAGGTGTGATCTATGTCCTACTCAACCAGCTTCTTGTAGGTGGTCTAATATATTTTGTGCCAGACCGCAGTTTATGATGCACCTAACATCCCCAAAGTTGACGCCCATACTGAGAGCGGTGCTAGCTACAATTATTTTATTTTATTTTTTACTGCTTTCTTAGATCCGCAAGAAGCTTCTCCTTTATCTTGGGCCAACTAACAAAATGGAAGATTCCTGGAATGAAGTTTTCTTATTCTCTTGAGCCAGTAAGCAAAGTGGCATGTTTTCCTAGCTTGAAGAAGAGCAAGTTGACCACAGTTGATATATTATTAAGGGTGTTGCAAAAAAATTGTGGTCTTGGGTGTTGTATCTCCTTTTTCGTTAACTTCCTCCACAAACCGATTAATTTTGTTTATCCACATCATCTTTCTTTACTTTCCTGACAGAAATCCTGATGTGTGGTCTGTGAGGACTAATTAAGGTCTTCAGGACATCTTTATTTAATGACAGCCTTCTGCATATTGTGCTCTTGGTTGTACTATCAGCTGTCCCAGTTAAAGCAAGAATGGGAGTTCCTAAATATGTAAAGAGAATAATAATTATTAGAACGCTCTCCAACATCACTGTCACCATGTTAATGAGGGAGTACATGTATAAGTGAACAGTAGAAATCTTTCTAGAATGATTCAAGTCAAGTCAAGTCAATTTTTATTTAAACTCACACAGAATATTAATTAATACAAATTAGTGCTTTGTAGGTTCATTGCGCAGAGTTTGGGACACCTAAATAGTTCGTGGAGCTAACCGAGTAGGTGACCCAAACAAGAATATGAGGAGAAGGAATATAGCTACAAAATAGTTGTTTTAGATAAAAAGTATTCCTTCATTAATTAAATAGTAGTTAAGAGGGAATGTGCACTAAGATCGAGCCGGATCGAGAATTCGTGGCACATGATGAAAAATAAATTTTCTCCATATTTCGTCCAAAGATACCCTATGGTGACCTTAGAAACGTGGTGGGTTTTTTTTTCTAGAAATATTTTTAGTAACGCCACAAAAAAATAAAAACCGTTAATGCCCCAGGTTTTTGGAAAAACACCCAATATTTTACGTGCAGCATACCTTCCACTAAACTTCGCTCTGTTTCATTCGCGCAAGTCTTAACCCTGTTTGGAGCATGAAAATGAAATGTTTTACACTTAGTAAGGCATTTTAGACCAGTTAAACTAATTTGGATTGATTTTCAAAGTCTCAGCGGGCCGCCGAAAATTACCGAAATTCGCTTGCCCGGAATTCTTAATTCGGCACTCTTTTTCACTGTATGATTTCCCTATCCGGTAAAACGCCAATCGCTTTGAAGTTAGTATTTTTTACAATATGAAATGTTGTTCTCTAACCAGGTATAAAAAATATTTTCGGGCTTTTTATCAGAAGCGAGTAATAACACTCTAAAATCCGGGTATTATCACGGCATAAACTGACTGTAAACAAGTGACACATTCTTTCTCGTAAATAACAAAAAACCTTGGATATTTCTCCTTGGTTTTAGCGTTTTCACCCATAAACTACAGAAGAAATAACGAAAAACTTTATACTCATCTGACATTCAAAATATCTGGTTCCGAGTATATTTTATCTTTGAATTTAGCCATCTCGACAATTAAAATTAGTATCGCTTGCAAGCAACCAACTCGAATGTTCTATTTCTGTCCCATAATCTAAAATGTTAGCAAGAGCATTTATGATTGAAATAAGTCTGTTTTACCGTAAATTTCAAAGCATTTTCCTTGATCTCCTGTTTGAACTCTTATTAAACACCATTTACCAACGTTTATCTCGTGCTGAACGCTTGAGCTAAAGCCTCCTTCAAGGACTGTTTGTTTAGCCAATCGTCACGCAATAAGTGAAGTGGTCATGCATGTTCATGAGTTGGTGATAAGGCCATGGAGAGAGAGCGCAAATACTCATTAAAAAATTATGCAGATATGGTGGGAAAAAATAAAGAGAAATCTTATTTATAAAATTAGTTTTAAACATTCTAATAAGCGTACGTTGTCTCCATATTATTGCCCAGAATTTTTAGGTTTAACCAGAAGCCGATTGCCGATTGCTCCTGGCTCAACTTAATCATTAAAAATAATCAGCAATTTACGGAAGGATAAACATAATTGCTTGTACATACCAGAAATTAAAGGTGAAAAATTGTGCAGTGGCACATAAAAAAAAATTCCACGTGCTTTTTGTGCCAAACAGATAGAAAAATAAAACAAAACATATTCTTCAAACCCCTTGTGGACCGAGTCATTTCCTTAATCAGTTATAGAGACGACATCTCTCATCCTTATATAAGGTGAAAGTTTGTTGTACCGCCCTTCGATAACGGGTAGCAAAACTGCTGGTGACTGGTACATTTAGCCACAAAACCAGCCCATCAAAGCCCTAAGGGCGACAGTAAGAACCCACCTACCATAAACGAATTTGTGAAAATACGTCTTTCTATGTGCCTTTTCGGCTTGCATTGTACTAGTAAGGAACGTGAAATGTAAATGGGCCATTATTTTTTAGTGATATAAATAAGAATAAAAAAGTTATGGAATGAAGTTACTATACATCAACGAGTAGACATTAGAGGCTTGCAGAGTTTTTCGGCGTCTCTTATCTGCTAAGGGGCTCTGGCGGAACATTTTTGAACTTCGTAACTCAAAACCTAGACCTACGATAAGACTTGCTGCCTCTCGAACATGTTGCCTATCTTTTCTCAACACAACTCGTTTCTGTCTCTAACTCGTTTTCAGTTTTCGCTTGTGAATTACAAAATCTTAATACAAGACAGTAGAATGTTCCAAGAACGCCTCACTGTTGACATGCGCATTCCTGACAAAGCGATTGTATTTTGTCGATGTACGGCTTCTTGCGTCGAACCGTTATGCCCGCGGTGTCAATACCAAGGGAAGTGCAAATGTCCTTTATAACTGTAATGGAAAATTCATTCAGCTTCTTTTGGGACACCATTTCACAAAGATTATAGGCGTCATAGACAATAGGATGTTAAGGCGCAATCTCACTCGCAGCCTCATTAACAATACTTTCTAGACAGGCCTCATGTGCGGCGACCTCTACACCTTCCTGATCGCCATTCTCGAGGGTTTTCTTTGAAGCAAGGCGTGAGAAGAAGCCAGCTATTTGGGTTGCTGTAAGAAACTCATCGCTTGAAAACAATCTATCTCTAGTTGCATCCTCTGCACACATCATTGATCTCGCAACGGCTGCAGGATCTGCCTTACTTCCGGTCTGCTCTCCAAGCTTAAACTTTGTAGTTAGATACGACTTTTGGTTTGCCGTGAACCTAGTCCTCCGTGTAGCACGTGGCTTGAGTGCCCAGCCCATGGGTTGGCTGTCTGTGTGACCTGCTCGTGTGCTGACAGTGCTGACTACTGGCACCACCATGACTTGCCCCTCGAGTTGTTCTGCATATCGGTTGGGCAGGTTTGTCGAAGAGTGTCTCGTTCTCTAAAGCGCGCTTGTGTGTTCCACAATCCAAGTGCTGCATCATGGAGGAGTGCCTCAGGAATGTCTGTGTACAACCTTCCTCAGGACACGTGAACAGTGCCTCGCGCGATGCTGAGTGCTCTTCTTCAGTTTCGGTCTTATCGTCAGTGCTGCGGATACCACTCGGATGCGCGCCATGTGCTCGTCTTTTCACACCCGATGAGAATGAGCTTGGGTGCGCCTGGCGTTTTACCAAGGACGGTAGCCTGTTTGATAACGGAGCCTCAGGTATCTGCGATATCAGCTTTCCGGTTCCCACGCCATACACTGTCCATACACGGATTCCCTCATCAGAAAACTCTATATTCGAGAGTAGGCTTACTCCATCGATCTTGTATGAGTCCATTGAGGGGCTTGTGACGGAGCCACAGCCTACCGGAGCAAAAACACCTGTTTGTTTTAAAATAGCTTTAGACTCCGACTTGCTTATTTCACAGTCCGCCTTTCTCGTTTTTCCTCTCGAAGCATGCTTTGATAGCCCTGGTGGTACTTGGCATCGATGAGCACCACAGCGCCAGCCAATGCCAAGGGACGAGCGATGGGATGGGCAAATGGTCCAAGACGAAATGTCGCGCGGAGGAGAAAATATTGATGCGCGCGCTAAAACAAGCTCAACTTCAGAGTTGATATCGCTAACTCCAACACTGTGCGTGTGACCTAAAATATCTTTTTGACATGAAGATAGCGGAACAACAACTGCTCCTTCATATCGTTTGTCAGAGGCGCAAACGCCTCCAACTAGTTTCTGAAAACAACAACTAACTTCCATCCACAGCCACAAAACAAACTCTACGAACTCTGAACATGAAATGTTTCGTACCCAGCTTTACTGGCGATTATTAGATTACAGCTCTGCAAATATTGTCTGTTTTTGTAGAACGTTTTGTCTGTTTGTTTGTTTTTATACGAGAGTCAGACTTATTATTGGAGGAAAAAAAATAAGCTTTGATATTTCATGTATCACGACAAAGAAAAAGGGGTCGTTTTGTTTGGCCTCATTTTGCTATAGTTTTAAATAAACAAAATGAAACGAGAAGTGAATGTTATCTGTGACTTTGCGCGGTTTGTTTCGAGGCGTCTCCGCGAGTACAGTTAATATAAGTACTCCCTTTTCGCACAAAAAAGCCTCATATATGTGCCGCCCACCTTTAAACCGGGGCATTAAAATACTTTTTTTCAGACTTCGTAGTCTTTCGGTGGATGTTTTGTTTTGGTTTGCTTTGTTTTTAGCCTCCCTTAGTAATCGCGTGACAAAACCTTTTTAGGCAAAATCTTTGAGAAATGCATTGCGTGACGGACAAATTTGGTCAAAATTCGACAAGAGTTCATTTGCTGACATGACTTTGTAGACTATGGAAAATATTCCATAGATATTTTTCTTTTTCTCACCTGAGAAATAAATTACTGCAGCCAAAAGCTTACACTTTAGTTTCCATTTAGCAATGGTGTGAATTTGATTAGCTGAGTCAACAAGAGATAAGATCGGGTAGGTGTAAATTTATATTCCACGTTTAAAGATAGCACTTTTCGTTCAGAGCCTGGTGTTCTGATATTCCTTACTCAGACTATATAAACTACCTATATCTGCTTTGTTTTTCATCGAAAAAACGAAAGAAACAATACAGAATCTGCAACTTTCGGAAATTTGTTCGGCGCGTCAGGGCTCGAAATTAAAAAAAATGTCTGGTCGCAAATTTGCGACTAGTTACGAAAATTTGGTCGCAACTTTGAAAATGTTAGTCGCAAAATTAATTGAGGCCATTTAATCAAGAAATAAGTAGGCTTTTAAATGATTAACGCTTTAATTTTCGTTCTTTCAACAGCTTTCATGTCATTTCGAGACTTAATAGTACAGAACGTTTAGCGTCTCGGACAACACCAGTTCATCTAAACGATCAAGTTGAACCTGCGTTAAGGCACATAAATTAGTGTCTGTTATTTTAGTCAAAGCGATAGATTTCCAAATCATGAACAGATATTACAGCAGGAAACTGCAGTTCTTAAATGCCTCCAATCTCTGCAAAATAGCAATAACATTTGTACTGGGCGGACATCCGACATGGTTATAGGTTACGTTACGTAACTAAATTCCTTTAGTTTTACCTTTTGCAGGTTTTCCACCGATGACAAAACAAGTAACGAATTCTTTTATATATTAAGCTTTACATCTGAAGTATCAGGGGTGTTACTACAGTGGTTATTCAAAGAACCCCTGAAGGACTGAATCATTCAATACGACGATACGTGCCATGCGGACATTCCGCCATCTTTGTTTGCTAAACCTCCATGTTTTCTTGAGTATATAACTTTCGCTCGGTCGATTTCTTCGTTTAAAATGTGACCTTTCAAACAATTTAAGTCGCTTTCATCCGACATAATTGACTCACTAAAGAAGAACACATGTGTACTGTGAGGGCCGTAACGCGGGTCATAAACGCGGGAAAAGTCCTCAGCATGCTGGCGGGACTGTCAGCGGCAAATCAAAACGAAATATGAGCCTGCAATGTACATGTTTACAGAACCCGCTGAAAATGGCGTGCTTTTGAAGGAATATCGTTGCGTGTATGTATTCCAGGTAAATTACGGTAAACCTTTCAGATTGTAACAAAATTATAAGACGCTACTTCAATGACTCTTTTTATTTCTAAATTTATTAAAGCAAAAATTCAAGTGCTACTCCTTTTATTTCGTATCAGTTATGGCAAAACCTAGTCGCAAATTTGCGACTAGTCTCGTTTTTCTAGTCGCAAATAAGAAAAATTAAGTCGCAAATGCGACCGTATCGGTCGCAATTTCGAGCCCTGCGCGTCTGTTTACGGTTTCCAGATGTTGACATGTTATAAGTTTGTGATTTTCGAGATTTTTAGAGCGCTGGCACACGGCGCTGATAGAAAGCCCGGAGAAAATAATTACATCACATTTTAGTACCTCATTTTCTCTCTTGAGAATTTTTAGTTTAAAGTGATTCGGTGCTTTACCGGGCAATGAAACTTTATTTTGAAAAAGTGCATCAAATTTAGAATTTTAGGTAAGCGAATTTCGGTGAATTTCAGATGATCACCACGACCTTAAAAATAAATCCACAGGTTTAAAACTGTACTCAAATAACTTGCAAACATTCAAAATGTCTTTTTGACCTTTTCTGAGAGTCTCCCTTTGACGCGAATTAAACAGGACGAAGTTTACTAGAAGGTGTTAAACACGTTTTTTTCGCATATTTTCACGACACGTGGGGCAGAAACAGGCTTTTATTATTTTTGTCGTGTTCAAAAGAACATTTCAATAAAAAAACACTACAACGTTTCTCGGACCACCATACGGTATCTTTAGACAAAAAATGAAAAAATTTGATTTTTCATCATGTGCCACCCCTTGCTCGACGTTAGTGGACATTCACTCTTAAAGATAATATAATCGTAAAACATGTGGAATCAATAACAGTATTACAACCATTAATCACAGAATTCTTGATATATTGACAAAAACTGGAAAACGGCTTGAATTTCTGAACGGTTTCTGGAGGTGGCGTGTTGGCTTTCTTTTGGTTTTTTTGTTTGTCAGGCATCTTGTTAATCAGAATGAAGTAATACTATTAAAGTTTAGACAAAAATAGCCAGACCAGATCAGTAAAAACAGGAGCGGGTCAAAAACACAACCGGCATCTTTCCCGACTGCTGATTTCGGCAAAGCTACTACAGTATATATAGATCAAACCTACTATAACTTGAAAATGGCCTTCCTTCCAATGCTTCCATTATCATTTCCAACTTTCAGGATTTAAACGTATGGGATAATTAAAAATAGCGAGCCTTCTTTGCACAGAGATCTCAGAACAGCAAGTTCTCCATAAGCTTTTCTGAAAGCGGTTCCATCAGTACCCTTAGAGTTCTTCTTCCTAACATGAAATGAAGAAGCACTTATCATACTCAAACAAAAGCATCTCATGATCAAAGGAACAATTGCAATTTTACTTGGGTGATCTCAGTTTTACTCGGTTGATCTCGAATCGCATCCATTCAATCTCAAAGCTCACTTCATGAATGTTAAGGTGTGAACTACAAATCATTGCGGTTAATGTAGCAATGCATTTCTATAGTAACGAAGGTTATAAAAATTTAAATCCCTTGTTGCTACACAAATATCTGTGGACGCTATAAAAACAAGTTAGAACTTTCTATCTTTTTCCGGTTCATGTCTCGACCGTGTGAGATGTTTTGATATAACTTCGATTTAGAGTCCATCAACGTTGCTTGGAAGAGCTTCTCTTTGACTTTTGAGCGGTTGGAAACACAATTTTGAAGTTACATCGGCGAATGTCATTGTTCGATAAATTTGCTAAATCTTTTGCGGGGTAGCCCAATAATTCCATCTCCTGCAACTGGTCTTCGATTACACTTTTCAATGGCGAAATGACGAGAATCATGGCAGTACCATTTAGCTCGTAGTTCTTCGCGCGTACAAACATTTGATAAATTAAATTCTTGCCGTATCTGGTCGGCAAAACCGCCAGGACATCTCTGTTGGCTAAAAGAGCCCTCGTGCTGATTCTTGTTCTGGTTGAAAAACAATTTCTCGATCACTACAGAAATGCACATTTCTGAAAGCACTTTCTACAATACCTACGTCTACTGCCACCATCTCGATTGTTATTGGTGAAGAGTGAAACAGTTTTTTCATGAGTTACTCATTACAGCCCAGCCAACCGGGAATTTGCGGATGCTGCGTCTGCAGAATTGTCATCTCCCCCCTCTCTCCCCAATTTCACTCCCTTTTTCCCTTCCTCCTTATCCCCGCGCCCTTTTGACACCTGCTACGCAGGCTAGTTCATATTTTCCATCAGGACAAGTTGTCTTTCTTGAACAGGACTAATTGGAGCCATGATTGAAGGATAAAATAAGAATCTAAAGTCAACGAAAACCAAGGGTAAAGCTGGCAAAGAAAGCAACCACCTTTTGAAGTAAACTGGTCAAGACTTTGTCAAAACAGTGATCAAAGATACCGCATTGTAAACTTTTGATTGGCATTCTATCCCTGACAAAACTTCAATGTCAACAATATCTAAGATGACATGGCAAGGTTAGCTAGCGTAAATGATACTTTACACACATTCGCTGCACATTCATTTCGAATGGCAATTAAGATATCTTCCCTGATGATGGTAAGGGACAAAAATGTTTCGAGTAGACTGTGATAACACAAAACAGCGGTGAGACAGGTATGACCACAGAAAATACCTCCTTATTTTGCTAAAAAGTGAAAAACTATCAATTAACCTGAAAATGTAGTTACATTTAAATACTCTAGCTATGCCACACAAACAACTTTACAACAGGATGCATATGAAAA